TAATAGTCTTATATCGTAATTTCTAAAAAAAATAAAGCCGCTTTTAATGAATTGTAAACTTACTAAGCATTTCTATTTTACTAGATTTTTAGTTCAAGAGAAATTAATTATTGCATTGAATATTTTTTAAAATACTCGTAAGTTAAATTTTATTAGTTATTCAACGATTTATTTATAAATTAATTTCTAACTGTAACTTTCTTACAAAAAAAAATAATTATTAATCTTTTTCAATTAAAAATTTGTTATTTTTTACTAACACTTTAGTGGATATACTATAATACCTGATATACTATAACAACATATTCCAGATATTTCAATCATCTTATTTATTACAAACTATCCAATACGCTCTCAGATTTCTAGGTTGACTTGGCCGAACTTTGACAAGAAAAGAACCAGTCAGCTACTTCAACTAAGACGGAACCTGCTCAGCACTACGGTATCTGTGCTGACGGGACACTGCGTAATAGGAAGGCACGCTATGAGACTGAGTCTCCCCTTTAATAACTTTTGTCGAGGTTGTGGCTCTGAGGATGAGGAGGAGACTGTACTCCATCTCATGTGTCAGTGCCCTTCCCTAGCCAGAAGAAGATTAAAAATCCTTGGATCTCCTTTTCTAACTGACCTGACTGAGTTGTCATCCTGTAATGTTAGGGACCTAGCCAAGTTCATAGAACTGTCAGGTTGGGTTTTCTTTACCTAATAGGGGAGTCGTTACCTTTCTTCGGCGTTAAATGTATACTGATTAAAATCTATATACAAATAACGTAACTCCAGTGGTACCACAATGGGCCTTTATTTGTGCTTAAGTGGGCTTTTTGGGATACAAGGCCGCCACTCCAACCTGTACCTATACCATCCAAAACGCGAGATGCCTATATTTGTCATTATCGAAATAAAAAGAATTGCAGAGTCGCTTATAATTTTAAATCTGCCTAGAAACTCATTCATTATTGATGATATATCACACAAACTACAACTTCTTCATTTGCAATTCCAAAAACCTATTCAACTCGTCTGCTTACAAAGTTAATTAAAACTTTGCTGAATTATTTTCAGTCCTACGATATTTTAAAATGAATAAGTCCCCACATTACCGCGAAATGCAAACTGTGCGTTCCAGCAAAAATTGTAAATCGAAATCTTAATTTCGCAACAGAAGATTTATTGGCCTTCATTGTTGTATGAGTGTTGTTATTATTCCTCTCTCTCTCTTTCTCTCTTTCTCTCTCGAAAAAGGAATATAATTGTTCGCTAGATTTGCCAAATCGACAATCGCATTGTAGTTTCTGTCTGTTCAACAGTCTGACTATACGTCCTCCGCATTTCTGTGTTTCTGGTTGTGTCAATTCGCAGTCAAATGCAACCCTTTCAGGGAGTTTTTTCCATTCATTTTAACTCCTTTTTTTCATTCTTAATAAATTATAACGAAATCGAAATGTAAACGCAAGCGGAAGCTGAAATGGGTGCAAAAATGTTATTAAGATGGCAAACACCCATTTGACGATTATGTTGTTTCCGCTTCTTTTTTGATAGTGTTAGTTCAACGGATTTCACCAGAGTTAAGAAGCAGTTGGCATTTACGAAATTGTATCGGCAGTGAAGCAGTTAACTAGTCCATAGACATGCTAAATTGTCACAATGTCTGCTCTAAAATATTTGAAGGGGTTGCGAAGTATCATCCATATACACAGCTCTTCTGTGTGTATACTTGTCCGTACTCCCTTTGGGCTCATTTCTATTAAGGTAAATATTTGTTTATCCTTTTGAACCCTGTTAACGATTACAGGCAAACGACAAGGTTTATTTGTTTTTATTATGCTTTTGTGTTTGAGTGTCAAAAATACTAGGAACACAAAACAAAACGAAATGGCGTAGAGGAAGGACTCTTCGGATCCTTTTGTATTTAATGTCAAGTTTAAGTCAATGCTGTTCTTAATTGTACAGAAAAGTAACGCAACGTTAAAGTAAATCGTTTTGGCAAAACCTAAACAATGTGAAAATGAGGAACAGAACATGTATTAAAGAATGAAGTTGCTATTTGATTTAAAAAGCAAACTTAAGGATATTTCATTAAAATTCTGTTTATAACATATTCGAGTATAACATATTCGATGATCAAGGGGTATAATAAAGGTAAATAAAAGGATATTTAATTTTGAATGAAGACTAAATCAACATTTTAACATAATCATACGATATATATTTAACAGTACAGATGGTTTTATTTTGACGGACAGATCATATCTACAAGGTCATGGTCATTGAAAGTGCCAATAACCGAAAAAAAATTATTACCTTCAATAATAGATGCTACTATGAACTCTATGTACAATTGGAATGTAGTGTTCATTGTCGTCTTAGAATCACTCATCATTTCTGCGCTGTTGTATGGTGCAGATTTAGACACGCTATCACAGAATAATGATATATCTCTAAGAGTTTACAAAAGAAAGTTCTTTGTAAGAACCTTGATCTTCTATGAGTTAGAGATGTTCACCACATTCAAATAAATTAAGATCTGTAATCAACTTCAGACTACTATAATTTTCCAACTGGTTGCTAACAGTAATCCACTACTTCTTCAATGAGTATTAAAAGTTATACCCATTTTCTTTGCATAGGTTTCTATACACCAGAGAGAGTACATATAGTAAGTCTTGCCGTATTAACGCAGTCTCTTTTAATAAATTCTTGGTACACGTGATCTAAATGTATTTCATTTATCATAAATATATAAACAAATACCACAGGGCATACATCTAGAGTAGCACCACAGTAGTCCAAATTTTTCGTACTCTTCATTGTTTGTATGTCCAAAAGTACAGATGAAAATAATGACAATTTCCTCTCTATATTATTTAATGAGCTTTAATTTTATGACGAAGAATTGAAAAATTTTTATTACCAATTAGCTATCAATAAAACTGGCAATACTGCGTCTGTCGTGATGTTACTTGCAATTAGCCAACATGCCTTCCTAAAAATTCCTGCTTCCATAACGTACTCCATTTTTGAGCCAACCGTGAAAATTGGTACTCGTAGTTTATTTGAACTTATTTCAATAAAATCAAAACAGAATGGCCAATTATCGGTTGAAACTCTATTGTAGACAAGCATCCTTCATACTTACTTATTAATTAAATATATGTATTAAAAATGACGAAAAACTTCTTGGTAGTTGCTTAAAGTCTTATTGACTATGGGTCCATAAAAACTCAAGATGAAAATGCATTGAAACTTGTTATATAACAACTCCCAAAAAGTTCGAGTAAAATTAAGAAATAAGAATTTGCAGATCCCTATACAGTCCATTTGAAAACGTATGGTACATGTCTATATTCTTCATTCTAGCTAGGTTTTTCTATTTTTTCATAACTATTAGCTTTCCCATTTGTATTTTATATACACTTACACTCACTCCTTATTTACCATTTTTTACTACAAAACGGTCGTTCAGATATTAAACGTCTAACGTCTAATATCTAGACGTATTAAACGTCTGGATATTAATATCTCACATGCTACAAGAAATAGCATATTAGATATTACATATTAGCATATCTTTCTGTTTGCAAGGAAATCGATGAACTCCATAACTAACACAAGATATAACTGCGCTATTCAATACATTAATATTTGTAAATATAGACAATACAATGTATTAAGTCAATATCATTTTGCTACCTCCTTTAGCTGTTAAATACTTAAACTCTTTTGGTAAAATAACTAAAATAATTAGTTGCTTTACTACTATTACTATTAGATGGGATAATCTTAATATAATACATATCAATAATACCCGCTAAAAAATCAGCTTCACACCTCTGCTGTATTTATATATGAGTATTTTCTAAAGATTAATGAGAACCGATCACTAATTTTCGATATGAATCACTGCTATAAGATCAGCTCCATTTTATCCAACTTGTCTACCACAGGAAATAAATTGCTTATTTAAATAAATAAATAATATAGTAACAAATAATATAATAATATGTAATATAATAATATATAATATAATAATGAATAATATAATAATAAATCATAATAATAAATAATATAATTATAAATAGTACAATGGTAAATAATATAATTATAAATATAATAATATATAATATAATACTATATAATATAATAATAACTAATATAATAATAATAATATAATATTATAATAAAATATAATAATAAATAATATAACAACTAATAATATAATATTAAATATAATAATAAATAATATAATGATAAATAAAATAAAAATAAATAATATAATAATAGACAATATAATAATAAACAATATAATAATAAATAATATAACAATAAATAATATAATAATAAATAATATAATAAATTAATTAATTGACAGACACAGTCGTAGATATATACAACAAAATTGAAACAGCTTACCCAAATTATTAATAGTGAATATTAAAAATCACCTTCAACCGCTATTCAGAAATAAAAATCTCAATGCTAAGAACAGGAAACTGATATCTAACCAAATAATTCGTCTGTCACTTCTATGTGTATTCGCCAGCTAGAAATTGCACAAAGCCAGGTTCTGAGAAGACTTTTCAAAGTACCATAGTACATTAGGACGAATGACATCCTCGGGAACCCCAAGATTGATCCTATCAAAAAATACGTAAAGGATAGAGCCCTGAAATTATTTGCGAAATCTGACACACTTACCAACACCATATTATCGAATCTCAGAATGGTTTTAGGCTCCTCGGGGAAGTATGCAGATCTGTGATAAAGAATAATCCAGTCAAGGTGTAAAGAGGGGTTTTAAAAATACCTCGAATCAAGAAAGAGTAAAATTGCACAAGTGCACTGGCTCAAATAGAAATAACTAAATAAATAAATATTAAAAATACGAGATGAGGAGAAATTAAATAAAACACTGTTTTGCTGTTTTACTTTAGTAATTTTTAAAAAATTATCTAAACTTTATTGAAACTCAAATATTTGACTTTAAAAATTTTATAAATGTTTTCAAGTTTTTAAATAAGAGATATATTTAATACGCGATATCATAATCGCAAGTTAACGTGTCCAAAAGGGTATTGAGAAAATACTTTTTTTTGAGGGCTTTTTTGAAGGCTTATTTGAGGGCTTATTTGAGGGCTTTTTCGGTGCCTTTTTTATTTGCACTTTTTTCTTCTGAACTCTCTTCTTCGGCTTTGCCTTTGGTTTTGGCTTTGGCTGCGGCTTCTGCTTTTGCACAACCATCTTCGTATCGGGTGCATGATCACTAAACCATTGCATATTGGGCTGCCAGTCGAAACAGTTGTCAGTACAATTCAATGAATCATATCTCTTTTTAAATATCGACTTTAAATATTTATAGTCTGGCTCCTCCGAAAATCTTAAATATTTACAATAATCAAAATATGACTCAAACTCATAAGCCATTTGAGGGCATATTTCAGATATTGACATCTGCGCTTTACTATCGGCCACCATTTTCGACGTTTCTTCGTCACTGTCCCGAATAGTATACCATGGCAAGTCTCCAATACTAAAATACAATAAGCAATATCCTACTGCTTCAATATCATCGCGTTTAGACTGCGGCATATTTCGTAAAGCATTAATCGAAGCAAAGGCCATCGTACCATAAAAGCAGTCGAATCTTGCATATCTATTTTGCAATCCTGCAACAATTTCATGAAAAGGTTTGGTTAGGCCATAATCGACTAAGAAAATAGTAGAACTATCTTCATGTAGACCTGTCAAGAAGTTTTCCGGTTTAATATCTCTATGAATCAAACCTCTGGAATGAAGAAACTCGATGCGATCTATCATCTGGTCAGCTAGTAAGCAAATCGTTTGAATTGAAAAATCGCTTTCACAAAATCTAAAATATCCTTCCAGAGACGGTCCTAAAAGATCCATAACAAGTGCATTGTATTTTCCTTCCTTGCCGAAATACCGAATGTTTGGTATTCCAATACCATCACGAATCTGAAGGTACACATTATACTCGTTTTCCAGCAAATCCGTATTCCTGCTTTCCAATTTTATACCAACTTGTTCTGAAGTTTGGGTATTTACACCAAGATACACTTTACCAAACGCACCGCTACTAATTTTCCGCAAACATCTGTAACGCTTGCCGGCGAAATACTCATTTTGACGTACCCTCTTCTTAACAGTCTTCATGCCTGTAAGAATTTAAAAAATATTTATGTGTTAATATTTGAGTTTTTATAAAATAAAACAAAATAAATTTACATATATTTTCTAATTAAAAATACATTAAAAAATTATGCATTTTGATATATTGTGCGAATACTATAAAATCACTTAAATAGAAAAAATAAAATAAATATTTAATCTAAAGCCTCACTAATGAGTACCATAATCAACATATATCTTAGTTTTCAGAATACAACAATCATTATGTTATTTTACAGAATTTTCTTCGTAACATTCTAGACCATACAGTTTTCAACGCTAACTTTATAAAGACGATATAAATCGACGATCTGCTATGTATTTCAATTTGTAGTTGATATGAAGAATGTGTGGTATATACCATCATTTTAAAACATTCATTGACCTAATCATGGGCTAGATAGAGAAGACATATTGCACAAACTTGACCAGCCGATAAATATAAATATAGTAAGTATTGTATCGATTGTCTTAACTTTTGTAAGTTATCATCGGCTGCGATATTTTGTATATTCTATATATATAAATATAAATCGTATATACTATATATAAATCGGGAGTTTTTTATGGTAAAAAATAATAATATAATAATTATATCCAATATATAATTATGTAATAAATATGTAATCTACATTATATATATATATATATATATATATATATCTATATATATATATATATATATATCTATATATATATATATATATATATATATATATATATATATATATATAATAATAATAATAATATATATGTATTTAATATTATATATACGCGTTAGAGAAGGCCCGCATTTTTGGTGAAAGCACCAAGTGTCCGAAGATTTGAATGCACTTAGTACTACCAACTGACGATAACAAGTCACTGATCGGGCTGACTGGCCGGCGAAGGCTACTCGAACGGCTAAGGACGACTGACGTCTGTAATGGCCGGCTACGTAAGTATATATTCTAAGAATCACAATTTGGTGTAAGAATCTTTGTGTAATAATGTAGATTACATATTTATGTTCTTATACATATATATACTATGTATCATATATTCTTATATTTTATTTTATTATAGTATTGTATATATCCGTTCGTTTACTTTGGGAACCACAAAATGTATATACCTTTAGCTGCATGATGTATCCACACTCGTATAAAATTAACTAATTGTATTTTAATGTATACTTATAATAGTTTAGAATATATTGACCATTCTTGCATCCACTTATTCTGAGAACCACAAAATTTATAAACCTAGAATTGTTTCTACGTTATTATAGAAAATAAATAATTGACTTTATATTAAATATGAAATGACAATTTGCAACTTATTAGTTTCTTTAAGTAAATACTTAAGATACTTTTAAGTATTTGTATGTGTGCTTATAAACGTACATAAAGTTTAAGTCAACCCTTTTAGATAAGGCAACTATACACCCCAAGTACGGCACATTACTGCAGTGCTTCCTCTTTAGCCCAAGCATATTGTCAACATTATTTAATGACTTTATCCCAGGATACAAAACTCATTGTTGAAAGTTATTTAACTTTCAGAAGCTTTTTAGTGGCAGACAACCAGCAAGCAGCAAGCAGCAAGCGAGAATCAGCAAGCAGCAAGGCAAGGATATACAATTATAAAAGCGGCTGTCGGTTGGAGAGATGGCAGGAGCAACAGACGCAACAGACAGACGGAATATCATACGCACTTGTCTCGTACTTTACAAAATGTTTTGTGCAAATAATTCACCTTAATTTCGTCTGGCATTAGTAGTAACTTGCACTAGCGCTGCTATGCAATCTGCACGGTGGAAGATTAATTATTAACTTCCGGTAACTGAGCACACTGCGCGCGTTATTTGTTGCTGTTTGCGATGTCCTTTCACTGCACGATAATGAAAAAGGAAAATGTTTGTGCGCTTGTAGAGTGAGTGTAGAGTCAAAACGGTGTTCCTTTTGGAGCTGGACTGGTCTCAGTGCTTTGCTCGCTCATTTATTATGTACTGCAAATGTTGACTTTACTCGCATTAAAACAATTTCGTTAATTAAGTACCAAAATAGTTTATGTACACTCTTAAAACGTTAAAACGTTAGAAAACAGTTTTTGCCATAGAACACAAGTAGTCGGTTTTGGGTTAAAAAATTAACATAGAACGATAGAACCATAGAACTGTAGAACGATAGAACGATGGAACGATGAAACGTGAATGGCAGAAAAATCTGAAAAAAAGAATTGTGAAAAGTGAAGTTTATTTTCATTTCTGTTTACTTTCACTTTTATGTACTTTTCACTCCTTTCCGGAAGTACGGCAAATCTCAAGTGCGTAATTTATGAAGGTAGTAGCTTCATTTGGCCATTGTTTAAAGGGCTTTTAAAATGTTGACACTCATAATTATGGAAAAACAAAGAAGCCGCTATAGTCTCCATGGAAAAGAGCTCTACGTTGCAGTTGCCTTTGTCTTGTAACACAAAGACTTTTTAATAAAAATTAAAAAAACTATTCTATTATACTTTAAGATTATAAGCTAAAGCAAAAAAACTATATCGGACATACATATGTACACTATTTATATCCTTTGAGGATCTCTTAAAACGTTTGACTAAATGGAACTTTTTTACGTTTGATTTGAATTTTTTTTTAAACTTGTTAAGTTAATTTAAAATTGATTGAAATTGCATTTATAATGCGCTTTTCGATTCGTTACGTTGCTAACTGGTTTTTCTCTTTTAAATTGTACCTATTTGCATTGGCTTCGGCCACTCCCTAGTACCCTTTTTGCTTCCTATTCGATTCGCCAATTTAAGTGGATTGATTTCTATTATAGAAAATAAATTGAAAATACAATGAAATGTTTTAGTACAAAGATTTTATTCACAGCAATTGCGACTGTACGAATCTCAAATACTTTGCCGACAAATGAAAATAGTTAAGAGCAATCACAGAAGAAGTTAAAATTGCTTCGTTAACGTCTTTAATAAAAGATATTTTGTATTAAACACAAAAAATTTAAAACTCGTGAATAAAAATGTATACGTTTTCTTTGTGCTCAAAACTCCAGCTTCTGCAGGTGTATCACTGTCATGGCCTCTTAAGCATATCTTGGTTACAAAGCCATGCCCTCAGCGTATTGTTCAATGGCATTACTTGCAGAACAGTGGTGACTAGTGACTGTAAGTTATCACCGTAGATATACTTAGCCCTACCACTCTCTAAAAAATGATGTCTTATCTTACCCACATACAATAACATGACTTAAACTGCATACTTTTTCTTTGTGCTCAAAACTCCAGCTTCTGGAGCTAATTCACTGTCACGGCGTCATAAACATATCATGGTTACAAAGCCATGCCCTCAGTATATTGTTCAATGACATTGCTTCGACAACATTGGCGACTAGCCACTGTAAATTATCACCGTAAATATACTTAGCCCGACCCTATGTGGTTCACCTGACTAAATCTGCATACATTTTCTTTGTGTTCACAACCTTTCCCTCAAATAGCATTATAAGCTTTGCTAAGGTTCTAAGCGGTAACATAATTTGCCTAAACGCTTAAGTGATTCCCTGGCAATCAACGGTACAAACTAACCTAACCTAACTTAACCTAACCTAAATTAAAATTAATTGGCGCGCTATTTTAAAGGAGATTAAAGATGTGTGTTCTTATGAAATTATAATGAATATAATGAGATAATCAATAACTTCACATAACTTAACTCTTTTTACATTAATATACTGATCAAATTATAAAAAAATAACCAGCAACAAATAACAAACAAGTGCAGACATAAATATATATGTGTGTATATTGCATATCTACCTGGACATTGAGATGAAGAAGCCGCCTCATCGTCTTCATCACTTTCAGACACCAAAGCACTGCTATCACTAAGAAATGTTGAATCACTGTCCATAATAATAGACTATTTCAGCAGCGTTATGAAAATTATGACCATAAACTGTGCGTCGCGATAGATAAACTGATAGATACGCACTACTGTGGTTGAATTGTACGATCAACGGAATAATATAAATGTTACAAGGAAATAAAAAACACAAAAAGGGGAATATTACACACAAGTGGCTAAAAAAAATATCCAAGAAATGAACCACACAACACACGGAACACTGACCAAATATAGACATATGGAAAATATTCCAAGAAAAACATAAAAAAAAAAACAAAGTGGTGTATATATTAAAAAAAGCACAAGGCGGGGTAGTACGAAATAGTTGTATAAAATAACATAAAACATCCAAGAAAAGAACCTCATTACACACAGGGTATAAAATAAGGAGATTTCAAGAAGAAAGAAGAATAAACAAATGTACGGAAAAATGATTTAAAATTTAAAATTAGACAAATTGTTAGAATTTAACAAATTGTTAATATATAACAAATTCTGTAAATAATTGGAAAAGAATTATAAATGGGAATAAAATTTAGCAATAAATGGAAAAGACTCATAAGTGTAATACATAACTCATTTAATAATTGGCGCCAAAAAAATTCCCGCTGGGAAAACCAATGGAAAAAGGGAAAGAAACAGAGACTAAGGGAAATTGTAGTGCCGCGCAAAATATGAAATGACAGTTTGCTTTTTGAAAATAACAAAATATTTTTTAACATGGTTGATGGTTGATTACCCAGCAAACATTTTCAATGTTATAATCGTAATATTATGAGCAATCATATCATAATATTTTCAATCATAATATTGAGCAATCTAATCAAGGAAGAACGCAGCTGAGAGTCGCGAAAAAGCGTAGCATATTACTTTTCTATATATTGTATATTTATGTTTATGCTCAAACTTTCAGTTTCTCAACCAAACTGGAGCTTTGTCGCTGTCATGCCCTCATAACCAAATCGTGTTTATAAAGTCATGCCATAAGTATAGTTTATATATATATATATATATATATATATTATATATATATATATATATATGTTTTACGGTGTAATTTTTCCAGTGGTTAGCCACCGCTGTCTCCAGAAATTGTTCATTTTAATGAAAACTTCTACGATGATTACATATTATAAAACTAAGTCTTATTCTAATTAGATACCATTAAATTCAACCATTAATATATAACCTGTAAAACTTTTTACTTAGTGTTTCTCCATTTAAAATTACTAACGGAAATCGGCGTAGCTAAAAAGGCCCACGAGGCAGTGGCTTTTTCCATGAATTCTTTACCTAAATGCTATTTTATTATAAAAAAAAGGTTCTCTGGCCACCGCTACCTTTAATACGAGGAGATCTAATATTTCAATTTTAAAATCGACTAACTCTCCTATTAAGATTATTAACTAATCCCACTTTTAAGGATCCTGGTTTTTCATGTCCACCTATCTGGAGGTGATCAGAACAATTTAAAGAGACTTATTTAATTAACAGTGATGCAAGTTTGATTTGTCAGTGTATATTTCTTGCTTGTACATTTTGTAACATCTCAGCTTTTTAAATTTAATTTAGTTAATTTAATAAAATATTAAATTAATATAAATTAATAATATAATATTAAACAAAATGTAAATCAAACAATAAATTGTTTACTAGCAATTTTATTTGTGTTACATCAGCTGTCATGTTTAAAGCAACAACAGCGAAAGTGTTGCCAAATGTTTATAATTCCGTTAAAAAATTATTATGCATGACATATAACATATGCATGACAAATCAATATAATGCTATATATAAATTTTTTTATTATAGACATAAAATTGTTAAGCAAATTTGATTTCTGCAAGCCACAAATCAAAATATATTAATTCTTTAACAATATTTATTTTATATGTCGGTCAACAATATTAAAGTTTAAAAAATGTTGGTTAGTTGGCAACGCATGCAATTGACTTTACTCATTTGTATACTTTTAGATGATTGGTGTGTATATTTATAAACATAAAATTCTATGAATCAGATAAAAACAATGCAGTAAATGAAATAACAGTGTCGTTTTATAACATTTTGATTAACAAAAGAAAAACATGGACGGAATCTGCACTGAGACAAACATAAAACAGCAAAATAAAAGCCGCTCAAATGCCGACATCCAGCAGCTCAGTAAAAAACTATCGTGGTTGCTCAGGCATGGTGCAGCAAAAGAAGGACTTCCAATACAACCGGATGGCTTTTTGGCTACTTCAGCTATATTTACGCATACTAAATTCAAAAACTATAATATTGTTATTCTGAAGAAAATTGTCGAAACCGATCAAAAACAACGCTACACATTAAGGTTTAATCCAAATTTGGGCGACTATGAAATCCGAGCTAATCAAGGTCACTCAATGGAAATAGTTCAGTCGGATTCTTGTTTAGAAAAAGTAACTGATTCATGCGCTATTGCTGACATTGCTCACGGTACTTATTATCGTTTTTGGCCAAGTATCAAGACGGATGGACTGCTGCGCAAAACACGCAATCATATTCATTTTACGGTTATGAGTGATAGCCCCCACACCAGCAAAAAAGTGATAAGCGGCTTCCGTAACAATTGTGAAATTCTAATATACATTGATACCCAAAAAGCAATGAAAAACGGGTTGGAATTTTATCGATCCGAAAATAATGTCATACTTTGTGAGGGTCAAAATGGCTGCATATCTACGCAATATTTTGCTAAAGTTTTAGATCGAAAGACTGGTAAATTACTTACATTTTAACTAAAAATAATATTTATTTAATATTGTAAAATGTTTGTATAAACTAATAATGTATTTGTATTACTTTAGTTATACTGCTAATTTAATATATGTATTTGTTTTAAACTGATATTGATTTGAACTTTCTGGGAACCTCGAAGTTTGCTGTTTAATAAATCTGTATATTTTAAATAGCCACTGATGTTATTTACTTAAATTTGTACTAAATTCCATAGATACAGATAAGATACTAGTAAATACACTAATTCAAAAATTTAGTCTACGTAAAACATTATAATATGTATAAAGCTAAAGGTCACAACACTATCGTTAAACTGTCATATAATATGCATATACGGGTATCTTACCTGTAATAACGCAGTGTCAAATCAAACCAAAATCTTAAGCAAAAAATATCCAATTCTAAATCCACATAAAATTGTAGAGGCCAATTTTGTTCTCTATTGCAAAAAAGAACTCCAGTTAAGATTCAGAATATACAATAATTTAATAGTTTCAATACTCACCATCAATCTCAGAATCGATATAAATAACCAATTTGAGAATTCAAAACCAAAGACTAATTCGTGCTAAAGAAAATATTTTAAAATTAGTAAATCAATAAGTTCCAGTTATACCAATATTACTAAATTAATAAATTATAAATAATTTAAAAACTTATTGCATTTGCTCTATATACAGTTTTCGTACAATAAAACTAATATGTGTCCCAAAAGTGTAACATTTCGTCTTAAAACACAGAGTGAGAGTTTTTTCAACTACAAAAATATCAGAGTAAATTTTCTCCCATCCACATCACACTATAAAAAATCCAAGTAAAAGAAATCCTTGCACAAAAATTTTAACCATTATAGTAGATAAATTTTTGACAGATTTGACAAATAAAATTCGTTAACTACGATTTAGAAATGTAATTTATGTAAAACCGCTTTCGGTGAAATAAAATAAAATTTGGACATATATCTGTAGCACTAGCAAATAAAATGATTAGATTGCCTCTACATTTCAATTTGGGTTCAATGAAAGACTCTTGTGGTTTTGATTAAAGTCCTATAAAAGGTTTAAATTCTCATACCAAGAAAGTAGAAAACCGCCTCTAATATTCTGATAGTAATTTTGTCAAAAGACCACTTTAGTTCAATGATCCAAAACTGTCAGTATCTGGTTAGTTAGTAAGTCGACCAAAACTCCACTTTAGTTAAAGTTCATCTATTAGGAGTACTTCATAGTGCACACTACATACTCAATATTTAGCATCATAATTAATACATATTTGGTCGATTAATATTCTTTCCGAAATATGCTAATTGGTTAACTTCTAATATATAAGAGATATTTTACAGAATGAAATAGTGGAATCGGAGTCGATATAAAATACTAAAGTTTCGTTCAAAAACAAAGTCTTTGTTTAAAATGACTTATTCTTTTGCCGTAAATGTTGGCTAAAAGCACTAATTGTCTATCGGTTCTTCAAATGTTATTAGTTGTTTGTAAACTAAAGACTTATAATCAAATTAATTCGTAATATTGGCACACGCTTAGCTATATTAAGTGATGATACACCATTCGGCAAAAAAAAAAAAATAAAAGAAAATTCTGTAGGTATAAAAATTTTTGACAGATTTGACAATTAAAATTGAAGTACGATTTTGAAATGTAATTTATGTAAAACCGCTATCGGTGAAAAAAAATGAAATTTGGACATATCTCTATAGCACTAGCTACTTAACAATAGGGTTAAATGAAAGACTCTTGTAGTTTTGATTAAAGTCCTATAAAAGGTTTAAATTCTCATACCAAGAAAGTAGAAAACCGCCTCTAATATTCTGATAGTAATTTTGTCAAAAAACCACTTTAGTTCAATGATCCAAAACTGTCAGTATCTGGTTAGTTAGTAAGTCGATCAAAACTCCACTTCAGTTAAAGTTCATCTATTAGGAGTACTTCATAGTACACACTACATACTCAATATTTACTATCATAATTAATGCATATTTGATCCATTAATATTCTTTCCGAAATATGCTAATTGGTTACCTTCGAATATATAAGACAGAATATTTCAGAATAAAATAGTAGAATCGGAGTCAATATAAAATTGAAAAGGTTCTAAATTTTGCTGAAAATTTGCTTTGATTTCAATAAAAGGCGATAAGTGCTCCATTTGTTAGAGTGATCTGTGTTATAACAATACAATAACCTGGCTTTATCTAAGATTTAATTTTAATGTGTTCTAGTGTTAAGTGATCATAATTTTTTGAAGTTTGAACCTATTGGCTGCACTATATTTAAATCATTAAAGTAAGACCTAAAGGAAAGTACTTTAAACGGATTCGAATAGCAAAGAAAAGACAAGGACAAAAATTTTATTTAATTTGTTGAAATTTGGTTTTGAAACAAAAATGGGCAACTTTAAAAATTAACTTTCAATTCGTTGAACTTGTGTTTCTAAATAAAGCTCTAGTTTATAAGCTCGTTCTAATTGAAAAAGCTCGGCAAGTGCTTTGGTTAGTGTCACAAAATTAAATAAAAATAAGTGACAATAAAACCTGGAACTTGAGCATTGAAAGTTGGTGCAGCCTTAGCTACTTGTGGAAAAGCACGATTAGTCATCCCTTCTAATTTGATAGGTACGAGTTCTAAGCATGGCACTTGCAGTCCAAACAAATTATATCCGAACTATAAACTATACAAAAAGAAATTCGATTATTTCCTAAGACCACTGATGATGAGAACTTGGCGTTGTTTTTTGTCTCTGTCTTTTCTTTGCTATTCGAAACTGTCTAACTTTGAAATAGTTTCTTTTCATCATAAAGACGCGCCACCCTCGGCAAGAAAAAATTAACATTAAAAAAGGAAAGTAGTTTATTTGTAAATGATTGATTTACCGTTATATATGTTGCTGTTGTGGTTTGAGTTAGTACTATTGCGTACTTTTACTCTTTTGTGGCTGGAGAGCTTATCCCTGCCCCACAGTAAGCTTTAACTATACTAGAATTATTATCGTTTATGTATCTTTTAACTGATGACGGACCGTAGGTCAGCATATCTTCCTGTGCGTTCTAAGGTGGACTTAAGGTTGGTTAGGGCGAGGTTGAGCAACGTATCGACTTTTGCGAATAATTTTAGTGCTCTGTCCTTGATATATCTTTTCACTAAATCGATCCTTAGATCTCTATGCATGTCTGTTGTTGTAATATATCAAGGTATTTTAATTAGTCTTCTTAAAGGCAGGTTTTGTGCTATCTGTAATTGCTTTGTTGCAGTATTTGAGGCTTTACTGTATGTTACACATCCGTACAGTAGTACTGGCCTAATTATTTGAGTATATAACAACTTTTTATATATTTACCGACAAAAATTTTTTATCAAGTTACATTTGAAATGTGAAAAAAAATATATATGATGTATAGAAAATATATATTTTTTAAAGCAATGTTATTATAAAAACGACAAATAAATTTCAAATCATTTATTTGTTAAACAACTTGTGTTTAAAAATTCGTTTTATTTAAAGATTCGTGTATTATTAACTATTCTTCATTCAAAATTCTAGAATTTTCTGACTTCTGACTTGCTGAGACTATAACTTTTTGAAGTTCTCTGTGTTCTCTGCGACTATTTACTGAGCTGTACTAAACACAGGTAAATTGCAATATTTCGTGAAAAATAATAAATGTTCGGAAACTCTAATACTTTTATTATTCTTATTAGGCGGAATCTGGTGGGTGGATTTTGGAGCCCTCGAAACAGCGAAGTCGCAGTTTTCACCAGGCAAACATTTTACAGACTAACCGAACATAGCACACAGCATCTTCTTTTTTTTTGGGTAAGTTGTTCACTCAGTAATAAATATAGCGTATACGATATATGTACATATATTAATTTTTGAAATGATATATGCTTGAAGTTTAATACTTTATAATATCTTATTGGTTTTGTTAAATTATAATTACAAATTTTAAGCAAGAACGCTCTAGCTTTTTATTAATATTAGTACTTTTTCTTTTTGTAAACCTTTTTTTTAAAAAAGTTCTTGCTTTAAGATTTGCTTGCTAAATTTATTTTATGAGGTTTCTTTTTTGGGAACCGTTTTATCTATTTATCTGGAAGCTTCTGTATTTAATATGTATAAAATTTCATATATCAATAAACTTTCATCAGTTTTCTTTTTAAAGAAATGGAAGACGTAAATCAGCAATCTGGAATAAATTTCGTTCTTGAATTCCGTCGTACACGTCGTGATATTTTTAATCCTATGGATGTAAATTTTCTAGACCCGTACATATTTTTGACCAGTCGACCGGAGTTTGACATATCAAATTATGTACCCTCTTTTATTATGAATAAATTTACAGCTGCGTGGAATGTTTTTAAAGGTGCGGTTAACCATTCCTACAATCCAAGAAACGACGGTCCGTCTGGTAGTTCGCCCTCAAGTAATGAAATTTTCAAGATTAACTTATTAGGTGTTTATGATGTGTCCGTTAATAAAAATGACAACAATAAATGGAAATGGAATTTAACTCGTCGTTAAATGGAAAAATCCACTAACCAATTTTTTAAACTAATTGATTTGCATTTAAATTATACATTTAATTTAAATGACAATCAATTAATATATCAGATTGGTTTGTTTGAAGATAAACCTCACATCATCATTTGGCGTTAAAATGAAGTTTATTAGGAGTTTCAAGGATTTGGCAACTGTTTGACAATATACTAAATAATTAAATTAAAAGTAAAAATTAAAAAAAATAAAGCACAAACTCTCTGGCAAAACTGTTTTTGATTTATAATTTATATTCCATATATGTATATTATTTTGTTATTTTATGAAAAGTTGGCTTTGAGCGAAGATGATATACCCAGATGATATACCCATATATGATTTCATCCTAATATAACATAGCAAGTGAATTGTGACTTTTACAGCAAATTAATAAAACTCCAAAATGCGAACATACAGAGTCAGGACTCAGAGTCAGTTGACTAATTAAGACTGACTCTGATGTTCAAATTAGGCAGGGTATGAGTTTAACTCTTGGTACTCTTGTAGTCTCAAAAAATTATTAACGAATAATTAAACATAAGAAATAATTCCAACATCACTATTGATGGGTATTTGGAAATACTCGAAATAAATAATAAAAAAATTAACAAAAAATAATATAAAAAGAATTTTTGTTGTTCTATTTTACTAATTCTCGACATCTCGCTATATACAATGGAATGAAAGAGAGATTGGCTGTAATGAGACTGATTTAACAGGTAGTATGACTGTAATAGTTAGTTACTAACAGCAGTCACATTAACGCTCTATTAATACATAAGGAATTAAATTACATAATTGATATAAATCTAAAAAAAAGCAACTTATGTTTTTCGCAAAATGAGGAATAAAATTATAAGGCAGCAAATCAGTACAAGTCAGCTTTTATATGGTAAACAAAAAAAAATTGTTGAAAAGCCTATACTAATTTTAGACAATCGAATTGGTGATACAGCATAATACCTTTGTATTACACTTGATGCTAGAGAGAGCATATCATAATGAAAGTAAATGTAATAAAAATTAAATTATTTGGCATCAATTGTTTGTTGTTGACGAAAATCAAATCTGTCCACATTAAATAAATTACTACCATATTAACAAATATTGCAGCTAACTGGACCTTTCGGGTGTCAAGCTATGGAGTTGCGCCAGCAAAGAGCACATTAAAGTTATTTAATGCTTTTAAAATAAACTGTATAAAGGTATTATATATGCACACCTAGTATGTTAGGAACGCTGAACCATATTACAACTTGAAGATAAATAGAGTTGCTAACAAAAAAAACACAGGGGAGGCCCATTATAGGAAACTACATGGATACATAAACGAAACCTTCTGCATGACTCATGCCTCTCCCGATGTTGAAACCAAAACAATCACAGGTTATCTTAATCATGTACGTTTTTCATTAATATAATAATGATTTTTTTATATACAGACTGGTTATTAGTTTAAAAAACTAGTTATAGTGTTATCACACATAGTAGTTTCGGAATGTTACACATATTTCAGAATGTTACACAGCGACTCTAGGAGTTCTAATATGGATTTTACTGAAACTTAATTAAATGTCAAAGACAAATGGCTTCGTATATGTGTAAAAACGCGATTGTTAAAAGTGAAAAAATAATTCCAAAACTTCTTTTTAAGCACATTGTATCGGCCTGTTGCAATACCACTAGATCTCAATTAGAGAAACCCTCGCCGTTTCCTATATACAACAAAATGTGGATAAGTCCATTTTGGGAATTTTTTCTAGATTATACAGTAATGCTGATGTTAAAGACTTTCTAATTTAAGCTGATAAGTGAATGATTGTGGATGATTATAAATCCATCTCAAGATATGTACCACAAAGTAAGTGATAATTTCGAATTAACGACATAGATATTACCAATAGATTGAAATCAATACATTTAAAACAAATATTTGATAAAAAGCTACCTTTTATTGATGATGTTGTAATTTAGAGATCTTAATATAATAGATAATTTAGAGTTCTTGGTGTTCAATATGTCGAACTTAATCCAAGATGTCAGACAGCCTCGACATGGCATTCCTGGATAATTATCTTGCACCCGCTGTGAAATAAACTCATAGTGCGTAAAGTGAGTCCTATTCCCGGTACTTTAATTGTGTACAAGGTTTAGCATTCGTCACATAAAATCTGTCGCCATAAAAGATGTAAAAATGCGTCGAAATCGGAATCTGTCTAGATGCGTCTGGACGATTTGTTGGTTTAAATATTAATCATTTACTGACAATAACTAATTTATTTCGATTTCGAATTTATACGGTTTAATTAGACAACTGTAAATAATATACAACGTTTTAAATTAGTTTCAAAAAATTATTTTATTGATACCGATATTTCGACTATAGATCTTCAGGGCACTGATACAATAATAATCAAACATCAAGCACTTAACATATATACACTTATACAGGATTTATAAACTTTTACTGTTTTTGATTTATTGAAAGTGTTTTTATATACTTGAAAATAGTTTTGTATATCCATCTTATAGTTGAGCCTTATGTTACTAAGGGTTTGTAAAATAATAGCTGTAGTAAAAAGAAATCCACTATTTTTGTATGAAATTAAAATAGGTCAAATATGCACCGATTTGTTCATTAACTTGTTGCTATTTTGTAGGTAATTTCATTATTCATCTCTCATAAAAGTCCTCGTTTCCATTCGTAAAAAAGTGACAAGTTCCAGAACCATTATCGATGTGCGTGGCCTGGCGTTGTCATGGTGGAACACAATTTCGCTCCTATTAACTGTTTCTGGGCGTTTGCTTCCTTAAATGATGAAATTGTTCTGATGAATGGTACAGTTAAGAGTTTGTCTGATTGTGTCTGTTACATTATCAGGACCATCAAGACTATTCATATTTTTAGCCGCCTGGCTTGCGTTTTCGTCTTTATCAAAAAAAAATTGTGGGATATTTTTTTCTGCTACTAAAAAAAAAGCTTAACAGAGTCTCACGCCGATATTATCAAATATAATTGGAGCAATCAAAATGACTTTTATGTTGCTAGCCCATGGCTTATGTAATCAAACTAAATCAAATGAGCAGATTTGCGGCAATTTGCATTCAAAAACGATTTTAGCAAATCGTTCATAAGTGATTAATTAGCCATAAAGGCAACGGCTGTGCAACATAATTAAAATGCAAAGCAAATCGCCAGAGTTCAACAGGTCGACGCTTGTCATTTAGAAGATCACACACTAACACTGCAAGATCCGATGAGATTAGCATTTTAAATTAAAAAAAATTTTATTAACAAAACAGTTTAGCTAATTTTTTGTGACATTTTAGCGAACAAAAAAAAACCGCAAAAGTATCTTTTTACAATATATTATACATATATATTGTTGGTGTTATAAAAAATTTTATTGAAAAAGTGTAAGCCTAAATTGATAATGAAATGTAGTCATAATAAAATTGAATTTACATAATTTAAAAAAAAAACAGAAAAACAGCAAACCAGCAAAAAGTGAAGCAAACAATACATACGGTTTAAATTGAAACAATCGAAGCAGCGGGCTGACGATCTCAGCTCTCAACTGGAGTTGGCAAAATTGCTAGCAAATTGCTAGCACATTAGCTTCAAAGCCATTCACGTCTTTCGCAGAAGAGCGAAGCCAATAAGCCAAGCTTAGCTAAACCGAGCCAAACACTCAAGCACAAGACCCGCGTGCAAAGGAACTCAAGTGTGGCAAAAACTTGCAAGCAGCAAACCCAAAAGCTTCAAGCTCGCCGTCAGCCGTCAGCCTGTTGCATGGTACCAGATACTTTTGCCGCAGATGTATTCATTCCGTGTGCCGCCTTCAAGAAAGACAGACACGATATTTCTAAAAGTGGAAACAGAAGCCGCGTTTAAGTAGAATTTTTCAAAATGCAATAAATAAAAATTGCATAAAATTTCCAAACAAAAGTTCAAAAAATCACACCAAATCTTAACCAAATACCAAAAAAAAAAAAAAATTAAATTAAAATTTAATATATTTATTTTTTAATTAAAAAAAATTATTAGTTTTAAATACGTTAAAAGAAAGTCTTCTGAAAGATCGTGTGGCAATATAAAAAAGGATTAGCGACCGACCTCATTTACTGTCCCGATTTTAAAATGCGCTGGCCGAACGTTGTGAGACGCGTAACAGAAAAAAGTGCCTGAAAATAAAAGTTAACAAAATTCAAGAAAATTCCTTTCTTTCTTAAAGGAATTTAAAAAAGTTACCAAAAATAAGTGCAATTTTAAGTTCACAATTAAGTCGTAAATTAAGCTGTAAATTAAGCAATCACTTCATAATGAAGTTCCTTTGGGCAAGTTTGCTACTGACAGCTGTTCTGACAGGAGGTAAATTTTTTTTTTCTTCGTGAAGTGTGAATGTTTCGAAAAAAAATTGTTTTCTTGTGTTTTATTTTTTTTTTTTCGAAAATTATTTGTTTCAGAAGTTTGTGGAATTATATTCAATTCTGTTAATTTAAAACATTTATTGCAAAGCGGTGTTCTGGATTTAAATGTTGTGCGCTGCTTTCTGAGAAACAGGAATGTCTGTCCCAATCCATACATAATGCATCGATTATATACACCGTAAGTATTAGTTTTTCGTACAATACTTATAATACTGACAAGTATTCAATAGAATTATAAAAATTTAACCTTTATAATAATACTTATAATAATTTATTATTTTTAATATTATTATTAATAAATTGTTATTGCGATCAATATTCAATGCGTTTAATTATTTTTACTGGGCTATTACTGGGTCATCAATTCAACCCATTAAAATTTGTACACTGAAGATAGACAAATACTATCTGTAACACAAATAATTTTTCATAAAAATTAATATACAATTAAATATTTAACACAAATTTATTAGTGTAATTTTTATTTAAAAAAATGCATTTTTATGTGTCAAATATAATAAAAAATTTATTATTTTATTATATAAATATTTTAAAAATTTAAAAACTTACAAGTTCACGAATTTTACAATATTATTTTTGCTATTAAAGGTTTTTGTGAACCTAAATAATATAATAATATTAATACCTCGCTCTGTGGAAGAAGTCAAATAAACTTCGAAATATCAGTCACGTTTATATAGCAAAATAACTATAAAAAATAAAAAAAAAAATAAGAAAAAATTATTATTATTTTAAAAATAAATTAACAGTTTTTACTTAAGTTCACATAAGCCTTTAACAACATAAATAATATTATAAAAATATTTTAAAATTAATATCATAAAACCATGATGACCTATCAAATGAAATAATTAAACCCTCCTGAGTGTACTCCGCTATTGTCAAAAAATTTTTCAACCTCTTTTTTAAGAAGAAGTGTTGTGCTATAAAAGGTTTAAATCGTTCCAAATTATAATAACAAAAGTTTCTATAGGTTAAAATAAGAACTGTTCTATCAATAAAGGTGTCCGTCAAAGTGTGGAGTTCATTTCCACTGTACGTATATATTTATTTAGAAGAGAACAATTTTTAAACGATCCATATTGTTATAAAAACTCTATAGAATATTTGTGTACTTGCATCTATCCATCTATCTATCACTTCTTCGGTATACATTGCAATAAAAGTATTAGAAGACCTTATTATTTATCGAGCCATATTTTTATAAAAATTTTATGGAAGATTTATATGTATAAACAATTTGTCGAAGATTTGTGTTGTTTATTGCATCCGTATAATGTTCACAAATTTGTAGAATATTTGTTTAATTTTTTCGATCTAGAAGATTCGAATTATAGTCGATTTATGTTATTTATTTGATCTAAATTACAATGAAAAGTTTGTGGGATATTTGTATTATTTATTCCATCTGTTTCTATAAAAATTTTTTTTACGATGACTATGCTATTTTTACATATATAATATAATATATAGAACATACAGTATATGAAATATATAAAAAGTATATAAATATATATATAATATATAAATATACATCTCTTATATGTATAAGAAATGTTTGTAAGAGTTTTGCATGTCTTCAGTCCATATTGCTATGACAGTTTGTAGAATATATATGCTATTTATTCAAAATTTTATAAAAAATTTGGGAAAGATTTATTTTATTTTATTTTTAAATAAATAAATATTATTAATTAAAAATATATATTTAAATATATAATATATAATTTAAAAATTTTTATTTTTAAAAATAGTATGAAGGAAATTTGTCTTATTTATTTATTTATAAATAAATAAATGTTTTTAATTAAAAATTAGAAATTAATATATATAAATACATATTTAAATATAAAATATAATTAAAATATTTTTATTTTTGAGAATAGTTTAACTTGATTTCTGTTATTTATTCGGTTCAAAATGCTATACAAAATTAGTAGAAGATTTGTGTTATAAGTACATCTGGTAGAATTCGGTTTTAGAACCCGTGAATAAAATGACTAAATATAAGAATTAATAAAATAATAAATATATATATATTATTACTGTTAACATTAATAATATATTTATCTTCCGATATCTATTAGCGATAGACATTCAATTAATAATAAACTAAATAAATAATAAACTAATAATTTACATAAATATTTTTAATAAAACTATTTATTATTATTTAAATGAATACAAATTGATTAATATATTTATTTATGGACTAATTAGTCAACTTCTATACTATTATAATGTTTTTAAAATTGCTAAAAAAAGTATGTTCCAATTTAAAATCAAAAATTGTCTTATATAACAAAAAAAAATTAAATCTACAACTGCGTCCAAACCTATCCAAATCTATGCACAGAACCTATCCAACCCTTAACCAAAATATTGATATATTTATGCATGTCTTTGTTCTTCATGAGCTATATTCTATATGCTAGCATATAACTGTATATAACTATATATAAATGGATATAAAATAGGTGTCGAGACAGAGAGCATATGGCGTCCATGCGATTTATATATCTTCTCTACCTTTTTATATACTACCTTAAGTTAAGAGAAACGATTAAATCTTTTACACTTTTTACACTTTTAATCATAACTCTTATCAAAGGTTAAGCTATAATTTATAAGAAAATAAAAACTAGTCTTAAGTTCCAAGTCGCTAAATAATAATACAAGTGTTTTTATTTAAATGTAAAATTAAATATAAATATTACTATTAATAAATAACTAAACGCATTTAATTAAAACTGTGGTAATGACCTACTTCCTTTAAAATATAATAGACCAATAAGAAAGTGATGGATGCGTATGTGCAAACAATCTTGAGCAGCAATTTAAACCAGATTCACGATTTTATTGCAATGAGTTTAAGTAAAACTTCATTGATCATTCAAGATCATTCAACTGGAAAGACCCTTTCTTCCCTTGATGCCCTTTCTTTGTTTCCTGGCTACGTTCATGCCATACAGTTTTCAATGCAGCTTTGTAAATAAGTAAAAGTGACGAAGTAACCAGTACCACTTTTTTATTTTAATATTAACTTGTTTACGTTTCACTTTAATGTGTTTTCGTCAATTGAGCCCTCCGTCAAGATACATTCCAAGGTATTTTATGGCATTATTTTTTGATATAACAGTTTCATTTAACTTTAGCTCTTGCACGTCATCTTTTCATTTCATAAAAGTGATGAGTACTGACTGCGACATGTGGTGATATAAATATTCAGGTATGTGAATCTATTTCCCAGTGCATCTAAATAATTTAGCAAATTTTGCATCGTCTCTACAATAGTTGGTTCAGTGGACATGAAAATTGTATCATCACCCTTAGTAGCAATCGTTATACCCTATTATCAGTTACGGGCTTAACAGAAGTGGTCAATATTTAGAAGATTGGTTCCAATATATTCCTAGAACGTTACAATGTTCACCATGGAGGTATCGAATATACTGTCCTAAAATGTTTATAGAAAACAGCGGAAAGACATTCTTTTTTTTTGATATTATTTTATATAATCTTACTTAATAACTAAAAAAATGCAGTTGCAATATTTCTTCTCTTAAGTAGTTAGGAAACTTATTCATAATTCGGCGACATTTTACAGAAATTCCATGTTTATTCAAATTTAATATAATATAATATATAAATATACTATTTATATAAATATTATAAATTAACATATACTTTTATACGAACATAAAAGTCAAGTACGGTCCATTTGGGTCAGTTGACTCTGAGCTTCAAATTTGGCAGGGCACAAGTACGATACTTGCAGTCTTAAAAAAATTTATTTACAAATAATTAAACACAAGAATTATTTTCAAGACCACTGATGATGGGTATTTGGCAATACTCGAAACAGCTTTATGGTCAGCCAAAAATTAAATTAATTAAAATAATATAAAATGAATTTTTGTTGTTGTAGTTCACTACCTTCCGAAGAATCTCTTCATAAAATATATTCAATTAAAAAAAATAATTTTCTCTTAAATTATAGGAAAAGCATTAAGCCTATTTCGAAAAGAGAAAAGGGTAATAAGAAAGAGATTTTAATTATAGTTTAAATAAACTCTCATAAAACATCTTAAATATATTTGTTGTAATATGAATAAATATAAATATCTGAATAATAATATAAAACAAAAATAATTATAATTATAATTTTGTCTGTATGGTCAGCCTGAAATTAAATTAAATAAAATAATAAAAAATGAATTTTTGTTGTTGTACTTCACTACTTTTCGAAGAAGCTCTTTATTACAATTTTAATATATTTATTTAATTATTTATCTAAATCACAAAAAAAGTGATAAATTGAAAAAGTAACGGACTAGTTAATTTGTATACTATAAATTTAGTAGATTTTTATAACTAAAAAAGTGAAGTTGTAAAATTTTTTTTATCAAGTATTTAACGAAAATACCGCACCCACATTTTTTTGGCAAGTTTCGAATATTAAGCTAGAAGTGGATATTATTTTCAAAATTTGACCAAAAACTCTTGTGGAATTGCTATTTTATATTATAATAATTTTTTATAGCAACTTTTTGTCAAGTCCAAAAACGTTTTGCCTTTTTTTGAGCGTCTGGTAGTAATAAACAACAAAATTTTTGCCAAACACTTGCAAAACTTTATTACAATTTTTTTTTTCAACAAGTTTAAAAAATTTTTGTCTAACTAAAAGACTTGCCTATATTAGTTAAGTGAACTATCAGAAGGCGCATAACAGTTTTTTCATTATAAGACTGCGAGCAGCTGCCGGGCATTCGGATTGTAATAAAATTATAAATATTTATTTATTTTTTTTTAAGTAACTCTAGAGTCTAGAGTGTGTTTAAAAATTTGATTTATTATTATTAAAAATTTTTTATTAGTTAATCAATAATCATAATAGTTAATAATAGCTTCGACTTTAGTGGCCTTTAGGAAACTTAGAAGAGTTTAAACTGCAAATGTACAGACATTAACAGCGAACCAAATAACGAAATCTTCCTATGAAGACAAAAAATCAAGCGTAATTTAAATGAAATCCCGCCTTTGACTTCTGCTTTGGGCTTGGAAAATGTACAGAAATTTGTGAGTGGACTAATGATTAACATAGATAGTTTTAGTAGATGTGCTGTTCTTAACATAAAAGATTAATTTTCACAACAC